TTTTGAGTGAATTATCTTCAATAGTTACTAAAATATTGCACTTTTCGTATTTCTGGAAATTACCGTTATATGGGAAGTGGGCGTGGTTACAGTCCGATTTCGCCCATTTTCAGTACCAACCTACCTTGGATTAATGAAAACCTACATACCCAATTTCGTTGAGATATCTCAATTTTTGCTCGACTTATCGTGTACACAGACGGACGGACAGACAGACATGGCTTAATCGACTTCTCTATTCATTCTGAGCATTTATGTATACATTTGTCTATATGTATCTTGATTCGTTTTGGCTGTTACAAACAACCGTTATGTGAACAAAATTAATATACCCTTGTGCACAAATGCGCTCGGGTATAAAAATCCCGAAGATTACTATATAGTCCAAAGAATCCCGAAGTTGTCCCAAAAATCCTGAAATATGATTAGTTAGTCGCGAAATACCCCACGCAATCGGCTTGTCAAATATACTTCAAACCTACTCTTCCCATTTCGCTCTACACCATTCAAACATGACGCGTTCAAGCGAAGACATTTAATTTTCTTGCGGTTCACAATGTAAAAAAGCTTGGTTTTCTTCCATTTTTCTCTCTAACGTCCTCACTTTGTGAAAAGTAAGTTGCGAATGAGGCGATTTTACCATACACAATGCAAGCGGTTTGATCAAACGTCAACATGGCGACCAGAAAAAGAAATTAATTTTCTTAGGTTAAACAACTCCGATTTGAAAACACGTAAGCATGGAAAGACTTCATTTCCAAGTGAATTTCAGCCTCATTCAATTTGAATTCAAAGTGAGTTCGATTGAAATTCGGTCCGAAGTGAATTGCAGAACCTGCCTGAGAGTTTTCTTTTCCAAACCGAATTCCAACAGTTCTTAGAAAATGCTCATAACAGAAAAAATAGGCTATTTTCCAGTCAAAAAAAAACTCCTCCAGTAGTTTTTAGAAACAACGATTCATAAAATACTCTGCTATGTATATCACTATAACAATAAAAAATTCTTAATGATTTTAGCAAGGTTAAAATTTCTATATTTGTATACATAGTTTTATGATAGTTACCCAACATATTTAGCAAAAAGCAGAGCAATCAAGCGTTTAGGAAGTTAATGTGACTGTTAAATGGCGCCAGAAGAGGATTGTATCCCAGAGTATGATAAACAATTGCATATGCATATACTAATATATGTATCACATGTATTGCATGTAACATTTTTGCATTCACATACCAGTACGTCCAGAAGGAGAATTCCTTTTAGAAAGAAACTTCACTTAGTACATTCGTATCAGAGTTTTTGTAACTATGCTCGAATATAATTATGCTCAAGGTAAAAGGACTCTAATTATAGAAAAGGAGTATAAGCTTCCCAGCATGGCTACTATGTGTCTACTCTTTCCCCAAAACAACTAGAATCCGCCAGAAGAAGTTTTTGCAGCTGCTTAGGTACGCTAAGCGTGCGAGCAGAAAAGATGTTCAACTCCGTTGCTGCTATCAGTAATTACAGCCCGGAAGACATTTCCAACCTATTTCTTAACTGCCGCATCATCTCAGTGAACTCAGTAGTTTTCTGTGCAAATTTCCGGCGGCAACTCAGTTGTCGGCAAAACACCCCATCCACAGCTCCCTTTGCAGCAAACCTTAACAGAAAATAGAAGGGTCAATGGAGACTTGTTTAATGGCTCGCAAAAGTAAATGTTGAATATTTTGTAAAAACACGCGCACTTAATAGCCTGGAAAGTTAAACGGCATAAAGGCAATGACTGCCACAATGGCAAAGCGCCTTCAAGTATGCAACACAATTGCCAAAGAAAAAGAAATGGTAATTTGCGCTTGTACTTTCTGGCGTAAAAGTACCTACATATGTAGTAGTAGCACTGAAATCGGTAGTATTCTCGGTAATTGCATTGCCACCGCAAGCAAGCTAATGAAGCCATTTTAGAGCCAAGCTTGCCGGGAAATTGCAGTGTTGAGTGGTTGGATTAATTTGCGGTGCGCAAATAGTCAACTGCCCTGAGTGGAGTTAAATTCTTGAAATCTAAGAGGCGACAATTAGCTATGCAAGTGGTGGGGTACGAAGGCACCTAAAATGGCTTGAAAAGACCAAAGGTGCGCACACACACAGACGCAGACATGCCTCAAGAGCGCGCCATTTTATTTATTTAGTGCTTCAAGTGATAGTGTCGCGAAAATGTGCGCCGTAAAGTTTGTTGTGATTTGTGGCAGCTATGGGTGCAAATGGGAGAGGCAAGCCAAATTTGACTGCGCCTCCGGTCGGCATGGGTTAATACTCGAAAAGCATTCCCTGCCTGGCAAGCTGATTTGATCGGAGCAAGCGATTGGAGTGTCGATTTAATTACTTTGCGTTTTAACTTAAATGAAATAAGTTGGTAAATGTTGCGGTTTTCAATATGTCGCTTTAGTAGTGTTTCGCTTTTACATACATTTTTTTGCTACTAAGGAGTATCTAGTATACTGCATTGTGGAGTTTAATTAAACATTTTAATAGCTTTAAACCAAAGTTTTTCGAAAGCGTATATTTTTAGTTTTCATTAAATTATACCCTTGCTAGATAATTCGATCTAAAATTTTGTTTGTATTCTGCTCTATGGTCGTATTTGAATGAGATCATCAGAGCCAGAGTAGCCTAACTGACATTAAAAAAAAATTGTTTGAAGTTCTATTAGGTGCTTTTCGCATGTGTTTCGTAGCAGGTGTTGTGATGATTCCACCTCATCATTCCATCATCCTGGCCCCGCAAACTTTACCTACTTTTTGCAGATATGTAAAGTCGTTTTCCTAAAATACTATTTTCATTTTTATGAAAAAATATTCAAACTTTAACTGGGAACAATTTTTTAATCAAAATAAAATAAATAGATGGATAAATAAACAAGTTTTAATAATTTTTTTATGAAATTTTCCAAGTTCAAGGTTAATCTTTTTCCATTCGCAACGCAGACTTGAAATTAAAAATCTTGAGAAAATACCTGATCTAGGAAAACGGTAATCTACGACCCAAAATTAAGTTTACGTATCTCGGCGTTTTTTGAGTCATTTTAGTGTTCCTACAGCGTAATCTTCCTAATTATATATTTCAGTATTTAAATGCTCTAAGATGCAGTTGAATCACCTTCGGCGGATATAACTGCTTGGATCCGGACAGGCATTGAAGCAACGAGGTTTTACAGAATTTCGTTTGAAATATTATGCTTCCATATCTTGTTAAGTACTTTTTACAGTCCTGCCTTAGAGTCTGTGTTGAGCCAGTTTCTTTTTCACGATTTATCATAGATGCTCAATCGGGTTCAAATCGGAAGAATTTTCTAGCCGCGCCATATGTGATATTCTAAGGACTGCAAACATTTTCTTCATCTGTAAGAAACAAAATGACGGCAGATGATCTAAACATGAGGAGGTATCGGTGATTGAATACGGTATCAAAACTTAATGATTTTGCCCGTTGACAGGATGCGGAGTCGTCCTGAAAGATGGCCTAACAAATATGCCTGCCCATATTTTTCTTCCACGACGGGGACGATACCATTGTATGTTAAATGAAACAAAAGAGCGCCGATGAAGAAAGTATGTAAGTGAATTAAGCCTGGGAGTTTAACAAAAATACCCTTTTCGAAATTTATGCATATTTTGAACTAGTTACACAGTAAATAACATATACATATGTGTGTACATTAGTTCGGGTCAATTTCTATGGGAGATTTTTTCGACTATTTATGTGCGTATAGCACAGATGGATCTAAAATCAATTTGGAGTTTTCCAAATTCCGAAAATTGGTTTCGAAGAAAATATCATAATGTTCACTGTTACGCCCTCTGGTGGAATTTTTAAGAAAAATATGTGCATAAACGGATTCGTCATACCAAAAAACCCTTTCTAACATATTTTTATACACATTTTAAGCACTTCTTTACTACATTTGGCAAACTCAAAATTAATATTTGAGCCATGGTTTCTTCGGCAAATTTGTTTAAAATTACATATGTGCTATACGCACATAAGTAGTCGAAAAAATCTCCCATAGAAATTGACCCGACCTAATGTACATACATATATGTTCTTTATTGTGTAAATAGTTAAAAAAACGCAAACATTTCAAAAAAGTACAAAATGGTATTTTAGTTAAACCTCTAGGCTCACTTCACTTCACATACTTTTTTCATCGGCGGTTGTTTGTTTCGTTTAAGTCGGCAAATATTTATGTTTAAAAGAATTTTCATGCCAACCTTTTTATTACGATTTGATCGTAAAAATTCCCAAAGGAACACTTTCACTCATTGCTCTAAGCAATTTACATTATTTCCATCCCTGAACGGAACCCACAAATTTGCCATTCAAATCGTTTAGCGGTTCACAGAACTAACAAACTCCACAGAAAACCTTTGCTACTTCGGCAAGCCACGTATTTGCGTCTTAAAATGTTGCTGCTTTTGTTGTTTCCTTTTGCGTATTGTGGCTTCAACCTCGATATTTCCTTTATAACTTTTTGTTTCAGTTTTATTACCTACCGCTAGGCATAAACGTTTTATACGATGGGTATTTAACATTTATTGTTATTTAAATATAAAAAATATTTAAGATTTTCATCAGCTAATGTTTTACACGCCCTCACCGAACAAGCTACTATGTATAACCAAAACAAAGAACCTACAATGTGCCTTTTAACTATGTACATATCTACTTTTAGTATTATTATTATTTTTTTCATTAAAAACCTCCACTGCGTATCCCTCCCTCCACTTCCTTCACCATACAAGCGTATAATTAATAGCTATTTCCCAGTTTTATTTGCATGCCGCTGTAAATAAAATCGCTAACACAAAAATGCAATTTGTTTACAAAATTTTATCTACTTAAATTTACATTTAATATTAAGCACATTCGTTAATACTTTTTTTATGTACAAACAATTGTGCAAACTGAGACTTATGTACAATCTTGCTTACCTTCTCTTAATTTTTTTTTTTCGTTTCCTTTGCAGTGCGATGAGCCATTATCCGCTGGTGACATTGTGGTCTTTGCTCAACGTGTCGGCTCGCAGATTTGCTGGCATCCTGGTTGTTTCGTTTGTTGCGTTTGCAAGGAATTGCTTGTGGATTTGATTTACTTTCATCGTGATGGCAATCTCTATTGTGGCAGACATCACGCCGAGACGCAAAAGCCGCGCTGCTCAGCTTGCGACGAGGTAAATGTGGAAATAAGTGAATGTTGTTTGTTTACTTACATATTCGCAGATTGCATTCCTTCTTGCCACTGGCTCTCGTGGCTTATGGTTTTGTTGGCAAATGTATTTGTGGAAATTGTGTGTGGATTTAGAGGATTTCGCATATTTAAATTGCATTTTCATCTGGTTTACATTTTAAGCGTATTAGAGTAAGTTTGGATTTAGAGCTTGGTTCTTTAGATATAATCAGTATTGACATTTATTTGTTTGCGATTGCGAGCGAAGCTTCT